CAATAAGTGTTTTATAAAGCATCTGAAAACAAGACAAATTAGTCATTAAAAATTAATTTCAGAAAATTACAGTCTCGTTAATACACGCTGTTACAGCTTTACAAATTCCTTCTGAGGCAGGAGGAAGGAAGGGGATTTAAAATGCATTTCACTGTATTTCATCAAAAATTGAAGAGCGGGATAAGCGTGTCTGGAAGGCTGCGCTTCGGCGGTGCCCGCACTCAGAGCCCAGGCGCGTCGGCTTCCGCAGTCACACTCGCCCTGAAGAATCACACGTACAGCCGCCCTGGTGGGAAAAGACCTTCAAGAATGCTCTGCTGCTTGAGACACGGCACCTCATTGCAAGCTTCTCCCCAGCCCTCCGTGGATTGCATTTGGGGGCATTCTGATGGTATTTGGTAACGTATGCCCATTTGACAAGTTATGCAGGCACTGGACACACCAACGCCAGCCAAGCACCYGCCTGTAAAACTGCACGTGCTTTATTGACCACGGCAATGAAGCAGCGAGCGGGCACACGTGGGGCTGCCGTGTGCCAGTGCAGCATCCACACCTGCAGCCGCTCTGCCTGCGGGTCAGGCTGCACCGCTGCAGCCTCAACAGCCTTTGCAGCTCACATGGAAGGATCTAGCATCAACAGCGTGAGGAGACCCAAGCGCCAAGTGCCAGCRGAGCGAGCTCCTGCAGGAAGAACCGCTGACATTCACTCCTGGTCCGCGAACRGGCTCCCCGTGCAAAGCTTTTCCCAAGCCAGGAGATCCGCTCAGTAAATAACACCGTGCAGCAGCTGCCATGGGGCTCTCGGGCGCTAATTTTGAGGCTGTGCAGGGTGAACCTGCGTTTTAACTAACCACAACATCGAGGGAGCTGCAAAGCCCCATCCTCGCCACAGCCCAAGGACTTCACCCAAGGGGCAGAAACCCGCAGGGCAACGCGGCCGAGCGGCCAACCCTGGCACAGAGCAGCGGCCGAGCGAGCGCGAGCTGCCCCGTCTCACCACCAGAGARAGCCCTCGAAAGCAGGGACCTTTCCCGGTAACCCCAAAGAGCTGCCAGCTTTAGTCCCGAGCTCTCAGCAGCAAGGACTGCGCCAAAGCACTCAAGGTCAAGAGACCAGCATGGTTCTAGGCAATCTGCACCTCTTAAAACAGTGACAAATACRTCATTTAATTTTAATGAGCTTTTCTGCATCTCAAATCTAATTACAGCATTATCAAGTACTGCTCYGAACTGCAGGAGGCTTCTCATTACCTGCGCTAAGGCTGTCACAAGCATTTCTCACGAGCGCTAAGAGCTGCTCGACGTGCGGGTGTGCCCGAGGGCCACCCCGGTGCCACCAGTGCCGAGGAAACGTCATGCCCAGCGCCGCCACGCGGAGCAGGGAGCCAGAGCGGGAGCGCCCAGGTCTTGGAAACCCACAAGAGTCTTCAGCCCGTTGCTCCTCGGAGCTGCTGCGAGCAGGAGGGCGCAGGGACGGGCAGGCACCAGCACAGTGGGCTGGGCACCTCTGGCAGGGAGTATCTGCCTGCACCTGCAGCCCGGTGCTCCTGCTGCAGCCTGGTCCCATTCCCATGGCCAAGCTCACTCAGGAGAGCCCACAGCTAACTGCACAGCAGCCATTTCCCCCGTGGGCCCAGAGGGACCCCTACATCCACTGCCCACCCATGTTTGACTCCCTTAGCACATCCCCAACACGTGCCATATCATAACTGCAAAATATGCCACCCATCTAAACCACGTTAGAGCTCTGCAGCACAGCATGCAGTTTGGTACTAAAACAGAGAACATTTCACAAAAATTAACATGGAGGAACACATAGCCATCTTGGTTCACAAAGGAGACTCACCAGGAGCAAGCACCACCTCACCCAAYCTCAACACCAGCCACCAGGGTTCTTTCAGGACTGTTCCTCCTCTTTAACCACTGCAGCCAATTATTGCCACATCATTGTTTAATTAGATTTGCCTGTGCATCGTAACTATCGCTGTTAATAACARGCTGCTGTGTTCTGTATGGGTTCTGGTGCTGGCCCTTGTGCTGCGCTTGTCCTCCTGCAGCCCATGGGCAGTGATCAGCCCTGGGTGCTGCTCACGGGTGCAGCATGTGGCCTGGTCTGCGTTCAAACAGGCAGTCTCTCCGGCTCCAAGAAGGGGCAGGGCTTGGGCACACACATGGAGAGCAGCCGTGTGCCAGGAGACAGCGCCCGGAGCACCCGGAGATCCAGAGAGGGCTGAGCTGGGAGCTGCTCCCAAGGTGGCCCCGGCCGCGGGGACCTCGCTTGAGAATGAGGGAAAGCCACGGAGAAAAGCCAGGCTTGCTGAATCTGCACACTGATTTAATCGCTACAGCTCAGGAAATTAAACATTTAAGCTACTATGTCYGTAAATCAAACCTGTAAATCAAATGCAGAGTGAATTAGCGGTTTTGTTTCTTGCAGATATATGCAAATTGCTCATAATTTACCTCATAAAAAAAATGGCAAACGGGCAAGTCTTGCACTAACCCTTTTTCCTTTGCTGCTGCAAAAAGCTCCCAGAACCTCACACCTTAATGCGATCATTTTTATTAATAGTGCTCTTTCTGGTAAATAAGTTTCATCAGAAGGATACATGGRGCTTTTTAAAGGGAGACTGAGGTGAAACTGCTTTTATTTCCACTTATAAACCGCAAGAAAACAACTCAAGGTGATTCCTGAAACACGCTGCAATACTCGGGCGGTTCTGTAAGCTGTTCCAGCCAGAGAACACCTCCCAAAATGCGCCTACAGACATGCGCAGAAAGGCTTCCACATGCTGGATATAAACACACACATACACATTTTTTTTTCATTTTTTCAAAATCAATTTCTTTCAGTGTTTCCCAGGATTAAAGATTGGGATGCCAGCAAGGCAAGCGAAACATTTATTTTCTATTAAAGCGGCTAAATGAGAAGATTAAACACGGTTTTATGTTTAGCAGAGAGGCAAGGTCAAATCAGCACCAGAGCAACTTAACTAGTATTTAATGGCAAGGAGGTCTGGTGTCAAAAGGTAATCGATTTAAGGAGGGAGGGATTTCTTTAAACGACTCAAAAAGGGCAAAACACACATAAATTTGAACAAATCTTTCAATTACAGCATCTCCCAAGGAGTCCTTCCAAAGCCGTTTTGCTGCCATATCTAATGGGCTTTCCTCAGAAGGCAGCTGGTGCCCTGGATTTGCTGCTGCAATGCTCTCACGGAGCTGCTCCACGCAGGGCGCTGCCGGGGGCYGCGGTGGCCGGGATGGATCCCGCGGGGCGCGGGCGGCCCCATCGACCRCCCGCCTAAGGCCGGAGCACCAGTTAGGCTGGATCTTCCCCTAGTCTCGCTTTGCACAAGCCGTCTCGGGTGGCGGGTTTYGCTGCGAGAAGCGCTGGGAGGAGCTGGGGGGCGCGCGGAGGGCAGCCAGGGCCATCCACTGCCCGCCCCAGCTGGCACCCGGGCCTGGGAAACACCCGAAGCGGCTCCGGGAAGAGCAGCATCCTAGAAACAACATCTCCCACACAAAGAAAGAGCCGAGTTTGCCTAAACCATTCAAAAAAGCCGTTACAGATGAGAACGAGGAGCTCCTGGACAGTTTTGAATCTCTGCGTTGCGCCCCAACAGAAAGGCTAATCCGCACCGGTGTTCTGGAAGGCGGAAGGGCTGTGGGGCTCCCGGCGCTCCGTGTCGGCAGCCGGGCGCYGAGGGGCCTCGCGCCAGCCTGGCTTCCCGCACGGCGGCCGCTCCGCAGCGGCTCCCGGCCGCTTCCCGGCACCGCTGCGCCTTCCCGCAAGCACCGCTGCTCCGCGGCGCGGCTCTGCACCGGGAAGCGGCGCTTTCGATGCCTTTAGAGCACCCTCCTGTGGGGATTCTGTGTCCGTGCATGGAGAGGGGCAGCTGCGCCCGCGGCGAGGTGGCGCGGGACGCGGGATGCAGGCACTGGGAGGCGGCATGCAAGATGTAGGCTGTGGGATGCAAGATGCAGGCAGCTGGATGCAGGGCACGGAACGCAGGATGCAGGGATGCAAGATACAGGTGGAAGGATGTGAGACGCAGGGCGAGGGATGTGGGATGCAAGATGCAGGGCATGGGATGCAGGGATGCAAGATGCACAGGGAGGAATGTGGGATGCAGAAATGCGGGATGCAGGGCGAGGGATGCGGGATGTGCCTTACGCTGCCAGACCGCTCTGCTCGGAGCCGCGGCACAAGCTCCGCTCCAGGGCTGTGTCTGCACAGACGGCTGTGCCCGTGAGCGACCCGCTCGGCCTCCACGTGCCCTTCCCTGACCTTCTGCTAAGGATTCCTTAACAATTCCCTTAACTTAAAGATGCCAAAAGCCCCTTTCACTGTAGCAACTGCTGACAGGGAAGCACGCTGCTTTTAGTCTCGTTTAACTGGGATTTGTATTAGCCCTTACTACGGTGACRGCAACATTAAAACAAGTCTGCCCTGAGCAGTAAGGATCCCTCCTCAGCAGCACGGCCGGTTATGTCAGTCCCTTGTTCTCCTTCATCGCTTCTGTTTGCATGGCAACGTTTCCAACTTTTTATTTCAGTTCAGATATTTATGAACAGAAGACCCTTACCCGGGCAGGGACGACATTCCCTACTTTTTTACCCTCCCATAATGAGGTAAATTTGTGTGTTTTCATAAACCTGTTGCTTCGTAGTAGCCGTTTGCCCCTGCGTGGCATCGCGCAGCGCGCTCCGCCACCACGGCGCGCACGGCCGATGTCCTCAGCAGGCGGATCGCTCGCGCAACGGGAGCCCTTAGCGCTGCGCTCGTACATCATTACCAGTTGGCACCGAAACACTTTTTGCAAGGGAGGCAATTACCCATAATTTACAGTTGAGGAAACAGTGCAGGTGAGCGACTTAAAGAAACCATCGAAAGTCTGCACGGGACGGCAGCTATYGCGGATCCCGACCAGGGCTCTGCCCATAATCCACGCTGAATGCACTTCAGTCCYGGGGAAAGGAATCCACAGAAAGCAAAAACAAAACGGCCTTTGGCAGATAAGCCAAACCTAAAGGAGAAATAAAAACACACATTTTTATGGCTGCAGTGTTGGGCACGCGAGGACAGCAGAGCTACCTCCACAGCACGAAGCAAGAGCTGCAGCCGGGCCGCGGCGGCCCCGCGAGCACGGACGGAAGCGCAAAGCGAGCCCGGCCACCAGCGCCGCAACCAAGACCCGCGCGCAGCCCCGCAGCCGGAAAGGGCAGCGCGAGCGCAGCGAGCCGGGCGCGCACGGCGCCGCGCCGGCAACCCGGCGCCTTTACCTGCGCGGGAGCCGAGCGGCCGTGGGGCTCCGCTCCTGGGCGCGTGCGGCCACCGCCAAGCGCCCGGCCAGGCCCGCTCGCTGCGCTCCCGCACGCTCCCAGCAGCGCTTCTGCTGCTAAACAGGAGAGAAAACGCGGCTCGCTGCTCGGCGGGCTCATACTGCAGGCTAGATTGAAACAAGCAACTTGTCCGTCGCCTACGTRTGTTTTATTAAATAAGCAGCACGAGTACACGATTGATACACGAGTGTTTCTATTATGCTAAACAACCAGATGAAGTTAGTTCTAGCACAGCTGCATTACCTCAAATGCGAGACACATGCAAGCTTCTAAATCTAGYGCAGAATTTGCCGTTTCAGCCATTAAGTCGAGGTTAAAGTTGGCATACGAGAGCATTCCGCAGCAGGATACRGTAGGAATATCAAAATTAAGGGCTGTTTTGGAAGTCAATGGATTTCAGGGCTGATTTGGAAGTCTGGGGGAATCCACCATAACACTGCAAGCGGGAACACGTCTCAGCAGAGAGACAAAGATCAACGGATGAGAACCTACCACCACCACAGGAAACGGCAGCGAGCGCAGCAAGCAAGCCCGGGCCCGCGGGACGCCTGCACGTTGGCCTGCACCCCTATGCCCCCCCAGTTGGGGGGGGCACGCACCCCCCAGTCTATTCCCACAAACTGCACTTGGATTTAGCAGCACCTTTACCTCCAGTTGCTCCTACGCCCAAGTTCAGCAAGCAAGAAGTTTTTGTTCCTGTGCTAACCCCTCTCTCGGCCTTAAAAAAAGAAAAGCAGCCTCATAAAGGCTGAAGCCTACAATATAACGGGATTGTGTTTGTCAGGAAGAGGGAATCCTCGAAGAGGTGCTCTTTGCTCACTTGCAGCTTACTTCCAGTGAGCACCATCGCCTCTGGCAAAGCGCAGTGGCGGCTTCTCTCTCCAGGCAGTTGTTTATCTCCTGACACCCTGTTTATTTAACTTACTAAGGGCTCTCCTCCCGCCCCTCTTAGGCACCCCAGTGCTGGGGATGGGCTTCCACAGAGGCTCAGTGCATCTCTGCACCCGTGCAGGCGAACAGGGGTGCAGGAGCTGGACACAGACCAAAGGGCAGCAGCGTCAACCCGCAGCACGGGGCTCCTGCGGGACGCGCTCCTCAACCAAGAAGCCATTCCCTTKCTAGTTACCTTTTACCTTGGGTTTTCACATTACTGATCCCAGTTCTCAACACCGGACACTTCTTCCGTTTTCATCATAATTTCTTCTCGCCATTCATTGTATTAGAGGATGACTTAAAGCCAATTCATGACACGGAGGAGGAAAGATACATAAAGATATTTAAAAACTGCTTTCCTAGAAAGTTGAAGTACTCGAGTCTAACTGCTGCTGGTACAAAACATACGTTGTGAGAAGAGAAATAGTCTTCAAGGGGCAGATGTTTCTTTCTCCCCCCACCCCACAATGCCAGCAGCCTCCCGGGCTGGGCTGAGCCCAGAACAAAAGCACACAGAGGTGATTCCAGGCCTCTAAAAAGCACTGCAATTTCCAACAGGAGGGGAAAACACCCCTAACAATTCAAAGGCTGATGCAGTGAACCCAAGTTTTGTTTTCCRAAGTTACACACTGGGTTAGAGAGAAGCATAGAGACAAGGCTTAGGAAGYAATGCTCAGCAGGTTTTTCTGAAGGTCGTTTTCCAGTTCTGTACTTCGCCTGGCCGCTGTGCCARCTAGATGAGGGACTAGTTTTGCATCAATTCTGAAAACACCTATCTTACCCCGGGGTAAAAAGATTGATCTTGTCCGTGCCACTTCCTCAAGCTCGGACAGGTAAGGCCGCTTCCCTTCTGGGTCTTGCAGCCGCTCCGCTCCGGGACACGCATGGGCAGCAGAATTCTCGTCCGCGCCTCGCGTGCCCCAAAGGGAAGCGCCGCAGGCAGCGGCTGGGCCACGTCGGAGAACGCAGCCTGGAAACATCCGAGCCTCCTTCGAGCAGCTCACCACAACCCTGGCTTTAATTTGTGGCTCTGATGAAAGACATAAACTTTTATATGCGTCAACAGGGCTCGGGGAAGACCTAAATTCATTTCAGTGCTCATTTATAGCYGCTTCAGCTGTGCGCAGTTAAAACTTCAGCATTAAATGTTAGGGACTAAAATAATGAGACACTTGAAAGATAATCTGTGCTTCAGTGGGCCAGGCTTGGGCAGAGATTTCGTGTGATCAGCAGCAAAGCTCTGGGGCTTTCCCTAGGGCAGCTTCACACCAGGTGCCCTCCTCAGGCCCATCCGCGGCTTAGGATCCCAGCACTCGCTCACAGCCAGGTTTAATGGGGAGTTTAGTGAAAGATTAGGTCTTAAAATAGTGGAAGAGTCTGGGCCGAAGCGCCATTTACAGCTCTTTTTACATTAGCATTTAAGCCAAAAGGAAAGTTATCTTCAGGACAGGAAAGGAAATCTTAAAAACAGTAGTTTCTTTAATTCACAAAAGAACATCTTAAATGAACCTATGACTCCTTTCTGGGCTATCAAGTTGTGAGCAGGGCAGAAAGCAAGCAGCAAACAGTTYATATATGCTTCTTGGCCAAGAAAACTGGGGATGAATGCAAATTAATACCAAAGATGTACAGAAATATCAAAATAAGTTAAAATTAAGTATTGAGAGAACATAGGTCAAAAGGTTATGTGCTATACAAGAAAAATACACATAGCTGAACTTAGAGAAGAAAAAAACAATGAGAATTGCATACTTTATTATTATCATTTTTTACAACTGAAACAAGTTCTATACAAAAAAGAAGGTAACATTACATATCTTGAGAGAAGAGATTTATATTTGGGGAAGTCAACGAATGCTACAGCTAAAAGTGATGAAATGTTACAGCTTGCACACAAAAATTAAAAATGAAATGAAATTAAAAAAATGAAATGATTACCAAGGTAATGCAGGTCAAGGGATCAAAGGTGAAGGGTCACACATTATTAAAAAGAAATCCAAAAGGACGTCTGCATCAAGATCTCTGCAAAACAAAGGAGCCGCAGTAAGTAACACTGGTACCTTGCATGGCATCAAGTCAACGCTCTCGAAACCGCCTGTCCCCCGCGCGCCGCTCGGCCGCGCCGCTCCGGCCCGCGGGGCTTCGGGCGCCGTTCCTGGCGGCAGCGCGGGCTGCACGCCTCGCACCACAACGCGAAACAGCGGCTGAAACGTAACTACGGAGGCAGCGTCCTCTCCTGCTGGAGCCGCAATTACACCGAAGCTATGAGGAAATCTTTGGTAGCCATTTGCAAGGAAGATGCAGCCACTTATCCTCTGGATTTATGCAGAAATGGTATTATTTACATCAAAGAATTTTAGGCAAGACACCCACAAAGCACGTTATATTCAGCGTTTTATTTGCATGGTCTCCCCAGACTCCCTCGGTCTCTGTTGCTCAAGACATTAAGTTGCAGGATTCTCCCACCTGAGCCCAAACGTGTTTGAAGCACAAAAAAAAGCAGCCCCCCCAAAACTTGGCCTTAACAAAGACGCTGCCAGTGACACAAGGCCTAGACACTCAATGCCATGAATTAATCCACTGGTGACTTTTTTCCAGGAAAATAAACAAAAAAGGTTACATCTTTCTGTGTCATTCCCTTTTTACATATTTCTTAGCTAAGAATCAGCTGCAGAAAGAGATGAGTCATGTTTGGTATTTTAACACCCCATTCATCAGTATCTGGCAAGCTCTCCAGAAAAGTCGCTGCTACGAGTCAGAGCTACAGCTAAGTTTTCGCCGCGGCTTTGAGCGTTTTCCACTTGCCGCTCCTGTGAGCGCAGAGAGCCGCGAGGAGCTCGCCGTCCTTCGYAATCAACACTCGCTGCAGTGCAGCTCCCAAGCGCTGGAGCGCTCGAAGGGACAGAGTACCTCGTGACATGGGGAGAGAAGAACCTGTGGCTCTGAGCAAGCAGTGGCTCTGGAAGACGGGAGAGCCCTCGCTTTCGCCTTGCCTCTATCCACCCCCACGTCGTGTCTTTTCACAGTGAGAAACACCTTAGTATCCTGAAGCCATAATTGAGGTGGGGAGAAAAGGAAAAAAGAAAAAAAAAAAGAAAGAAAAACTGGGAGAAAAGGAGAAGAGGGAGGTGTTCGTTTCACCCGAGGAGAGCAGAGCGGGGAGCAGCCGGCCCTGGGCAGCGCGACGGCTCCTGCTCCTCGGCAAGGGGCAGGGAGCTGCGGCACCGCTCCAYGGACACCAGAACAGCCACCACGGCCCCGCGGCTGCAGCAGGAGCTGCCCCTCCAAGCAGCTCTGCGCAATTTCCTGGCAAATGAGGGGCTTGCCCTAACCCGGGAATCCCGCGCAAATCCCTCTTCTATCTTCCCCAAGAGCAAGGAAAACACACACAGTTTCACGGGCATCTTCATAAAAAATGTAAAGCTACAAATGCACGGCCTGTCCAAATCTATGATTTTCTATCTCTGGCAACAAAAAAAGGCAGCAGCCTCCAAGCTCAGATAAACAGGGGAGAGCAACAAACCTGGCATTCAAAACCGGAGGCTTTTGTGCTTAAAAAAAAAAATACTAAATTAGTATTACTAAATTAGCCCACTGCCAACCTAAAACTGAGGTATTTGAGGCAAACCCACAGTAAAACATGCTGGCAAAGAAGCACTGTAAAGAGTATTAATTTTGCCCTCTGCAGAGGAAGGAGCCACGCTCACTCTGTGAGTCAGTCCCCTTAGAAGCAGCTACGTTTTCCTGTTTGTTATCACCATGCTTATCGAGCAGTATTCTCGGGGCTAGGACATGCTTTACTTGCCACCTTCTGCACYGCAGGCCATGCCCACACCACACGTGTGCTCAAAAAGAACAGCTTGCACCCTGTGCATGTGAACGTGTATGCAAAAATATGAGCCTGGGACAGCTGAAATACTAGGAGAAAAAAGCGACCAAAATCATTTTTTAAACTTTTGTCTCAACTCATATGATCCAAGACAAAAGCCTCTACACAAAATATTAAATGCCAGCAACTTCTCAAAAGACTCTATTCGTCGTGTCGTGAAAAACGGTGTGTGTGTTAAAAYAGGTGCCGGAATTTAACTTTCAGGCAAAAAGAAAAAAAAAAAAAAGGAGGGGATGAAGTGTTCCAATGCTGACAAATATACACACAAACTGATACTGGATTCTCGTGCTCAGGCAGCCACTTGCAATCGTCAAAACTTCCAAGTAGAGTTTCCGTTAACACATTTGGAGAACAGTTAACTTGCCACAGGCAGATACTAACTGCAGTTTTAAAGTAACTTCTCAGAGTTGACTGCTTCTGTTATGAAGTGAATCCCACAAACAGGACAAAGACGATATTGGAACGATGCTACTCAAAACTTTTGGCTAGCTACAGACACGAAGCCTTGCTGCCTAAAAGGAATAAATGCAGAGGATCTCTCAGACATACTTGGATTATTCTCCCATTTCACACACCACCACGTACATGTGAAGTTTAGACACTTAAATTCCATTTCAGCAGCCACATTCTGCTCAGGTTAAGGGGAGACGTGTAGCCACACACATTCAAAACAACTGGATTTTGGTATAAACTGCCCAGTCCAATGGATCTCTTGTCCCTAACAAAACTTCTCCAGCAGTGATGAGCCAGTCAGCTCTCCAAACCCCACGCTCACAGCACACCTTTCTTTCCAGTCTGGAAGACTATCTTTGCATATTCTCAATTGTAAGATAGCATCTTCTTTAGCATAATCAAAATATCTTGTATTCATTTCCAACAATTTTCAATTGCACCAGTAAGGCAGAGCGAAATTTGAGTCTTTGAGACAAACAGCACACACCCAAGTAATGAACTTCCACCACACGACTGCTCGACGGCCACGTCTATCTTTYCAAAACTAGCCCCTTCAAATGTCGCCGTTTTCAACATTTTACACTATCTTATTACTTAACACCAGGTTTCAGAGCAACGAATTCACATTCTGTCATTTAAACGGCACGTTCCCAAAGCAGAGAAATAATCCATAGGCAGAAGAAAGCAGTATTAGTAAGAATAAATAAAAAAAAAAGAATAACTACCTCATTAGTGTTCCAGCGGTGCCTCTCCTTCGGTAGACTTGAACATTTTGGTAGACATTCAAGCAGCTTCTTCGGTAAAAAGATTTTTACATGACTGCCATTGCTGTTCCCATGATCATCTGGAACGAAGAGAATACTTGTGTGAGGCTTATATGGCAGAAACAGGGGCTTCTGTTGGGGGGACTATTTTTACACAACTTCCAAATCCACCGATTCACTTGTCAAGAGCAGGTAATTTGTCACAGCAAGTAAGAACACGATTTGCTCTCGAAATTAAGAAATAAAAAATACATATATATGCATATTATACATGACAATACCTGTTTTAGCTTATTAGCTTCCTCTGTGACAAATTTCCCAAGCAAAAGCGACCAACCGTTGGGAAGTTGTGACCATGTGGGGTGGTCTTCCAGCCAAGGCATAAGCTCAGTTTGCACTCAGGGGGATTTGCAGGTAAATAAACCCTGAACTGGGTATCTACTGCGTTTGTGACAAGCTGTAGCAAAACTGAAACTCAAGCCCTACCAGTGGCCTGCGCAGCCATTTAAAACTCTGAGATGCACCATATAGAGCTCACTAAAACCAAGTTAATTCTCTTTCTGTGCCAGTTCAGAAAAGCAGCAGTTCCTCAAGATGGAAAGGGGGCAGCGATGGGCACCCTCGCAGCGCGCTGCACAGAGACATCCCCGAAGCGCCCACGCACAAGCACTGCAAGTGCCTCGATCTGCTGCGCAGACAGAGCCCGAGCGCGCCGCCAG